GTGTGTGTGTGTCCCTGTGTGTGTGTATGTCCCTGTGTGTGTGTGTGTGTGTGTATGTGTGTGTGTGTGTGTGTTTACTCACCTATTTGTACTCACTTATTTGTGGTTGCAGGGGTCGAGTCATAGCTCCTGGCCCCGCCTCTTCACTGATTGCTACTGGGTGTGTGAGTGTGTCCCTGTACTCACCTAATTGTGTGTGTGTCGCCCTGTGTGTGTGGCCCTGTGCCTCTGGAACTGTGGCTTGTAGCTCCCACTTCTTGCTCTCTGCAGCCATACTGACCTCCATTTTATTCCTAAGCTCTTCTAGCCTCCTTACCCACTTTTGTTCCCTTATCTTAAGCTCTGCTGCCCAATTTTCCTTCTCAGACTATTCCTCAGATCCCTGACTTTTCATTCTGCTCTCTGGGATCTCATTTTTTGAGCGAGTACGATATGTGTGTGCATGTGTGTATGTATGTGTGTGTGTGTGTGTGGTGTGTGTGTGTGTGTGTGTGTGTGTGTGTATGTGTGTGTGTGTGTGTGTGTGTGTATGTGTGTGTGTGTGTGTGTGTGTGTGTGTGTGTGTGTGTGTGTGTGTGTGTGTGTTGTGTGTGTGTGTGTGTGTGTATGTGGGAGTAGGAGTAAAGATGGAAAATAGGAAGTGAGTAGGGACTGATTGATTACAGGGAGTGGGTTGGGAGTCATGGATTAGAGGGAGTGGGTAGAGTTCAGCGGAGTAGAGGGAGTGGTGGATTACAGAGCCTGGGTAATTAGTGATGGATTAGAAGGAGTGGGTAGGATTGTGTATAAGAGAGAGAGAGAGAGAGAGAGAGAGAGAGAGAGAGAGAGAGAGAGAGAGAGAGAGAGAGAGAGAGAGAGAGAGAGAGAGAGAGAGAGAGAGAGAGAGATAGGAGAGAGAGGAAGAGAGACAGAGGAAGGGGGATAGATGGAGATAGATGAAGAGAGAGAGATGGAGAGGGAAAGAGAGAAAGAAAGAAGAGAGAGAGAGAGAGGCACAAGTACGCTCACACCTTGAGTATGCTCCACTTTCTTGGTTTGCCTGCCCCCCCCCCTCTCATCTGCGACTGCTTGACAGAGTAGAGAACAGAGCAAGACGTCTCATCTCTCGCCTGGACCCATCCTGGATAGATCTGTCATTTCAGCAGAGCCTTCAACACAGGAGGGATGTGGGTGGCCTTACTGTTATGTACAAGGCCAATATTGTCAAAGTACCACACTTGGATCCACTTCGAGGACAGCGTGAAACAAACTTTTATGCCACAAGACGGGCAGAAAGCAGCAACTTTACTCTGGTTGTACCCCTGTGTAGTGTATTCATGTGTAGTGTGTCCATGTAGAGTGTGGCCACGTGTAGTGTGGCCATGTGTAGTGAGGCCCTGTGTAGTGGCCCCTTGTGTAGTGTGGCTATGTATATTGTGGCCTATGTATTGTGGCCATGTGTAATGTGGCCCTGTGTAGTGTGGCCCTGTGTAGTGTGACCCTGTGTAGTGTGACTCTGTGTAGTGTGTACCTGTGTAGTGTGGCCCTCTGTAGTGTGGCCCTCTGTAGTGTGGCCATGTGTAGTGTGACTATGTGTAGTGTGGCCTTGTGTAGTGTGGCCCTGTGTAGTGTGGCCCTGTGTAGTGTGACTATGTGTAGTGTGGCCATGTGTAGTGTGACTATGCGTAGTGTGGCCCTGTGTAGTGTGACTCTGTGTAGTGTGTCCCTGTGTAGTGTGGCCCTCTGTAGTGTGGCCCTCTGTAGTGTGGCCATGTGTAGTGTGACTATGTGTAGTGTGGCCTTGTGTAGTGTGACTATGTGTAGTGTGGCCATGTGCAGTGTGACTATGTGTAGTGTGGCCCTATGTAGAGTGGCCCTGTGTAGTGTGGCCATGTGTAGTGTGGCCATATGTAGTGTTTCCTTGTATAGTGTGACTATGTGTAGTGTGGCCATGTGCAGTGTGACTATGTGTAGTGTGGCCCTATGTAGAGTGGCATTGTGTAGTGTGGCCATGTGTAGTGTGGCCATATGTAGTGTTTCCTTGTATAGTGTTTCCCTTTATAGTGTTTCCCTTTATAGTGTTTCTCTGTATAGTGTTTCCCTGTATAGTGTTTATCTGTTTAGTCGTCAACGTTACCACTATAAAGAGTCGTGAACGGCCAGGGAAGCATAAAACACGACCCACTTAATATCCGTCTGGCAAGTGGCACCTCACATCCTGAGTGAGTGTTAGATAAGGTATCTTCCGTTCCAGCATCATTCCTTCTCTCTCTCTCTCTCTCTCTCTCTCTCTCTCTCTCTCTCTCTCTCTCCTCTTCTCTCTCTCTCTCTCTCTCTCTCTCCTCTCTCTCTCTCCTCTCTCTCTCTCTCTCTCTCTCTCTCCTCTCTCTCTCTCTCTCTCTCTCTCTCTCTCTCTCTCCTCACTTCCGAGTTCACATATGACGTCAAGATTATTCGCTAAATGAGAGAATTTCTGCAGACGTCTTGTTGTCAGCGTCATGGAAGACGTCAGTAACAAGGGGTATGAAGGAGACGTTGTGTATCTCTACAAAAATCAATTCTACTGTTGTATTGAGTCTTTATCATTTATCTTTATTTATCTTTCTACGTATTAGCGTGTCAGTCTATATATCAATGTTTATATCTGTCTAAAAGGACAGTTTTAAGGGCCGCTGGTACAGGGATAGAAAATTAAATATTTTAGTTTTTCGTATAAATATTTTTTTTTTCACTTATTTTCTTAATGAAATATGAAAATATTAAAGGAAATATTACCAGTATAAAAAAGTAATCGTAGTACCATATAAATTCTGTAACTTCTATTAAAGAATAAATTTCTTAAAAGTAAGTCTTTCTTCGTTATTCTTATACGATAATTTGAAAAGACCAGATCTCAAAATCTTCTTTTTTTTTTGTATAAGTTTTTTTTTAAATTAACCTACATAAATTAACCTAAAATCAAAGTAAACTAACCTATTCTAACCTCATCTTCCGTATCAAAATGTTATTTAGTGGGACTAGTGTGGGTCGCATCCTGGGACAAAATTGACCTAATTTGCCTGAAATGCTCAACATAACAAGCGGCTTTCTATATAGTAGTATATTACTGATGTCAGGTAGGACTGTATACCTTGTACATGTACTTGTAGATATATAGATTTATTTTTATATTATTTATTTATATATTATACTTATATATGTTACTTAACCTAACCTGATCTATGAATCAGAAACTTGTGAAAACACTTGGGTATCTTTCTTGATTCAATTCAAATTCAAATTCAAAGTTTATTCTCTATAAGGATTACAATGTTGAGTTTACAGAATTTGTTATTGTGTGGTTTACATGTAGTTAAATAATGATTACAGAGTGTACCACTAGAACGCCTAGCATGGCTAGGCATTTCGGGCAGACTTAGTTAATTCTTTATTTTAAAATATTACAAATTATGAGGTAAGTTGATATTATGGCTAAGTGACTAAATACTAGTTTGTGAGTTTAGCAATGTGAATGCTTTTGTTTTGGCACAGTACATAGTTTCAGTATTGGAGTATCACAGGCCAACTTATGCCTAGTTAGGATTCATTATTTTAAGATTGAGATTGATATATACACAATACTTTGACATGGACCGTACATAGCCTTGACAGGGACCCTTCCAGACTCGTTTATGGTCCTTGACTCGTTTATGGTCAAATGGGTGAGGAAGTGTGAACCACCAGGTGGTATTCGTGTAATTAGTTGACGGGGTGTATCAGGGAGATAAGATGTTTTCTAATGGTAGTTTTGAAGGTGATGAATGTGTCTGCAGTTCTAGAGTTCTCAGGTAGGACTGATCACATCAACTCCAGGCTGAGGGACTAATTACCTCAAATTTCTTCTGATCTTCAACTATTCTTCTCTGTATTGGAACCAGGAAGCCACTGGTTGCTGAAATGTTTCGACAATAAAGATACCCAAGTGTTTGCACAAGTATCTAATTCATCATCCTGTCGGTTCTCTGAACCATTTATCTATATAACCTGGTCTAGCCTAATATTGAACAAAGAGAAGACTGGACGGAATCCTGGAATGTAGTGAGTCTGGTACCATGGCACGAGTCCACATCCATTCTATCAATTTAATGACAGCCGCTCATTACTATTCATAACTTAATCTTACCTAACATGAAAACATGTTTCTCACTCCGAGAATTGCATTTATGAGGATCTGGAAGTAACTATTAGCTCACTCCAGGAGTCGCAGCTATGAGGATCTGGAAGCGATAAGTCGCCCATCCCGGGTTACTCCCAGTACGTTGCTGGACGAGATTCCATAAAACTAAAACTCGTTCGATTTTACGGGTAAAAAGCTATCGTTGCTCAGCTTCAAATCCTACTTTGACATGGACCGTACATAGCCTTGACAGGGACCCCTCCAGACTCGTTTATGGTCTTTGACAGGGGCTCCTCCAAACCTGTATATGGTCTTAACACAGGTATCCCTAGATTCGTCACCAACCGTATCACTGATCTCCCCAGTCTAGTCTACAGCCTTGGCAGAAACACGCAAACCTGTCTTCAGCCGTGGCAGCGGAACCCAAACTTGTCTTCAGCCTTGGAAGGGGCATCCCTGCAGTGACATACCCGTTTTTATATCTTTGATGGAGCTACCGATTCACTTGCTCTATACCAACACTCAGGAGTCTTTCATACCTTTGGTGTGGGTCCCAGCACCTGTTATGGGGTTTCAGGACCTCTTTTTGTATCCTGACAGAACTCTAAGTTTCTTACCTTAGCCTGTACTATCAGCTAAATTTCTCCCCCCAGCTACAGCACCCATATTCCTATCTTACCCCATCAAGACTATCAGGAACACACATTCCAATCTCACTGTAGCAGGAACACAAACACTCTCCTGTCTTACCCTAGCAGAAAAACCCACATACCCGATCAAGGCCATCCAAACTACTATCTTACCCTAGCAGGAAGACCCACATTCCTTTCACACCCCATCAGGGCCATCCAGACTACTATCTTACCTTAGCAGGAACACCCAGATCAACGAGGACCCACTCTCCTGCTGCCTTCCTACCGGCACACCAAGCCTTGCCATTAGGCTGGTGCAGACGAGCGTATTTGACGTGACATCCTGGATCCCACACGGAAGGATAAGACGAGGATGCTGAGATCTGCCAGTCCAGCACATCTCCCGAGGTCATCCCCAGCGGAGTGGAGCATCCTGGAGATGTCATGTGTTAGTCAGGTGCTCACAGGTGCCTAAATAGGTTGTTTTGTTAGGTGTATAGAGCTATATTGCCTATAAGAAAGTTATTCAAGGCTATGCCACATGTACACCATCATGCAAGAATACTTTAATGCAGAATAAAGTTATTAAAGCAAGCTTTAAGAGTATATCTAATGGTTCAAAAACACTTAAAGAAATATATATACTGTATATACACTTTATCAAGTGCATATATACTTAGATTTATGACCTCTCTTTATACACTGCATTTCTCACTGTAAACTGTTGTATATAAGCCCCAGTAAAAACTTTTGAATAGTGTATACTGAGATATGTAACCCTCTGTACGCCTCACTTCTCTCAGTGAATGACAGTCAGTGTGAGCCAGAGTGAATGACAGTCAGTGTGAGGCAGAATGAATGAGTCATTGTGAATCGGAGTGAATGACAGTCGTTGTGAACCAGAGTGAATGACAGCCAGTGTGAGGCAAAGTGAATGACAGTCAGTGTGAGGCAGAGTGAATGACAGTCAGTGTGAGGCAGAATGAATGAGTCATTGTGAGGCAGAGTGAATGACAGTCGTTGTGAACCAGAGTGACAGTCATTGTTAACCAGAGTGAATGACAGCCAGTGTGAGGCAGAGTGAATGACAGCCAGTGTGAGGCAGAGTGAATGACAGCCAGTGTGAGACAGAGTGAATGACAGAGTGAATGCTGATGCTAGCTGATGCAACGCTGCTCAGTCGTCAATCTTTCAAGCATCAACACTACCAACATCAACTCGTCACACAGAACGCAACACAAGAGTACCCGTTACAATAGTCTTCATCAGCAGCTACTTTCCTGGACTTACTTCTACCCCAGCGATTTTTTTTCCACATAAAAACACAAAAGGCTACTTTAAAACCATTTTTTTTTTTTGCATATATTTTCATTCATAAACTTACTCTCGTTATCACTACTCCTATCTTCCCCTTGCTCCTCTTCTTCCTAATCATCTCCCTCCTCGTCTTCCTTCTTGTTTTCCTCTTTCTCTCCCTTTCTTACCCTGCTTCCTGTTATAATATAGACTCGCAGGTTGTATAATCACCCACAAAGCTCTACCATCGCCAGAGAAGTGACATAATAACTCGTATATTTCATGCAGCGTCTGGCGAGCTCTACAATCAAGCAGGAAGCTCTAACAGTGTCTGGTAAGCTGTTTACGAGACTTTGACAACGTCTGGTTAGATGTACACGCCTTCACTGAGCTCTGACATAGTCTGACAAGCTCTATACCAATCCAGTGAGCTCTGACATCATTTAGTAAAGCGTATAACAAGCTAGCAAGCTCTCAGTGCAACATCTACACACGCTAATCATCAAAGAGTGCTCATGTTTTTAAACACGTGACTGTATATAATAGAATGAAATCACAGAAATATGTGACCAGTTCACTGGGACAAGAGTTCGCAACTTTTACTGACATTTTCAATGTTTTTTATAAAGGAGAATGAGACGGCAGACCGTCTCAAAAAAAAAAAAATATGGCCTTAATCGGCCACTGAGCAAAATCCAGAAACAACCTCCGTGAGTTATCTCAGCTGCTGGAGAAACAGTGTTAGAGAGAACTGTGGCCTGGCTCTCAGCAGCTGAGGTGTGGAGGCTGCATAATGTTTGCCAGGAAACAGGACTAGTGTTTCCTGACGCGGGTCTTAAGTCATATGATGACCCTCAGCTGGAGTTTTTGGTAATCTGACCGAGGCCTTTCGCTGGCTTATGGGTCCACCTCTTTAAAAATCATGGTTATGGTTATAACCATGATTCAGTAGTAAAGGTTGCTTAACTGCCCAATATGGTGCTGAACAGGATAACATGGTGCCATGGAAACTGGAGAACAGGATAACATGGTGTTATGGTAACTGGTGAACTGGATAACATGGTGTTATGGTAGCTGCTACCATTGCTCAGAGAGACAGTACACACTAATTTTAGTGTTGAATAAAACACATGTACAACTCTTAGGTGTCTCTACCGACGATAAGTTTCGCCTTCCCTGCAGACGTCTTCAGTTGCATGCAGAGGTGAGTTGCAATACTGGAGACAGCAGAAGTACAGGTGTAGTTTTGAGCTGTTCAAAAGATGGATCTAAAACTGGTCAACTTATACCAAGGCTGAGGGACTGATTACCTTTGTTACACACGTATCTTCCTCAGTAGGTCAGTAGAGTCAGTCAGAGCAACGTTAGAGTCGGGAGAGCAGGTCATTCACTCTTGTCAACTATACATGAAATTAAATCAAGTTTCTAAATTAATGTAAATTGATTATCCGGGGATCACAACAATGTTTAAATTACTCTATACTGATGATCGGTAATGAGAGCCACTACACAAAGTTTTCTAAGTTTGGATTATTTGATCCTAGGATGATATCCAGCAGTAACCCAGGGAACTACCACACTACTGTTGCGTGAGTGTGAAAATGAAGCCTGTTAAATGTTTTGCACTCTGGGAAGTTCTGCTGTTTCCGTTTTTGTCCCACGAACACGTAAGATCACAGATAAACCTTACTGAATTCTGCTGACACAAGATATACACCTATCTTTACTTTCATGTGTGTTTCTTGTTAGACTTTAATCCTGTATTATTCCCTTTATAATTCAGGAGGCCTGGTCTAAGACCGGGCACGGGGCGATGACCTCCCCCCCCCGCCCCGAATCCCCTGTTTTCTAATAATATGTTATTTTCCCCTATAATCTACCTTGTCCATAATTACTATCTCATTCGCTTTGTCTGTTTTCGTAAGGTGAAGTCCAGGATCTTAATTCATGGTATAACTTAACAAATCTCTGAGGACAGTTGTGTTGCAGAGGTCTGAACAAAGCTCACAAAGATTTGTTAAGTA